TTTTTTACAGTGGTTTTAGCTTATTTTGTGTTGTTTAATTTCAACGAATATGAAGGCATGGACAGATATTTTGAAGAGAGCAAGAAAGATTATGGTAGCCATTGTTGATTTTCCTATTGTCTGATTTTGAAGGCCTATCCTGCTTTCATTCTTCTGTTTTGATCAGTTTTGCACTATTTTGTTTTGTATGAATTCACTGCATGTGAAGATATAGACAACTATTTAGAAGAAAAGAAGAGACATTAGGTAGGCGTTAATCTCCTGTTGTCTTGCTTTGAAATACTATATCACATTGTTTTATACTGACCTGCTTTGTTCTGTTTTGTTATATTTTGTTTTACCTGCTTTAAAACAAACAAACAAACAAAAAACTTCAAGTAAATGCCTGATTCTTTTTACAGTGATCAAATGATAATATTGCTTGTAACAATATATAATACTTATGAATTATAAATATTTTATTGTTAAAAATTATTTCATCATTCCCTTAAATACGTACATAACTTTGCTGGCATTTATTATCAAAGTATGGAAACAATAATAAACCTATGTTGTTCAATTTTCAACAAACCATGTTTAATTCTGTAGATTTTTCACACTTTCAGTGAGGTGTTCCTTACAGCATTCTCATGAATCCAGAAAAAATAATCTCAGACAATATGCCAAAAACAGAGTCACATTTAAATCATCCCTCAAGGAATAAGTACTAAGTTATTTAGTGAAACCTTGATACAGTTGTCCTCCATCCAGCAAGTTAAAAGTGGGTGAGAACAGTCTGATGTCTTTCAAAGCTGTATACATTAAAAACAGAAAGTATCCAGGAAAGTATAACAGAAATACTGAATAACTGATACACTCTTATCTGAAATTTAAATTGGAGAGAATAGGAGACCTAGAATAAAAGATCACAGACGCTTTGATATGAGCAAGATTTTTGTTTAAATAATACTTTTCAAACCACAGGCTGTATTGTTTGATTTTAATATGCTTAATATCCAATTCCTAAAAACCATGAGATATTAAGGATCCAGTAGGAAGTTCTTATTACATTCTATACTAGAAAAGTAAACTTTAAGAAAGTTAATCTTTTTATGTACTCATCTGTGATCATTTGAAATTTAAGTGCTAATGGACTCATTTTAAGTCACTATTTAGAGAATCAAAACAACTAGAAACTCAAGTCACAATGTGGAAAAATATTTTCTCAAATTAATTTCATACATCACTTTCAACTACCACTTTGTGTCTGTAATAGCTTACACAGATATTAATTACTCTATTCCATCAGCATTTTTACTTTTTAACTAGTCCTTTCAATATGAATGTCCATTTCCTAGCATCAGTAAGAACATTGCATTTTAGTAAAAGTGAACAAAACTTGTGTACAAACCACCTGTATGATACTTAAATCTGTAACTGTTATTTAAATCTCTAATGCAAGCCATTACTTCTGAGATGTCTTTCTATGGAAACAACTACTACTAGATTTACAAAATAACCGCACATGCAACTTCTTCAAAATAAAATGATTTTTTCCACTCCCGTATACTTTGTCTGCCATAGAGAACTAGCCTAATTAACCAAGACATGTGCAATTTACTGCGGTTGGAAATATCAAAATCATTTCAACTGCTTCATCAGTTTTAACAGTCCTCACCAATCAGCCTTCACCTTAATGAACAAAACAGCTATTGCTGGTTTTCATTTCTCACGTGTTTTTCTAAAATCCTTTCAAACATTAACTAATTTAATTCTTTCAACAATGGTGTTAGAGATGGAATAGAGGAAGAGTGAATAGAAAGAGATGGTTACTTTTCTATGTTCTTGAAAGTGATCTGTCATCTGGATAAAGGACTTGACTTCCTATTTTGTTTCTAGGTAATCTCATGGTACATTATTTTTCTCCACTCTGAGCTGGTTTCCAGGTTCAAGCTCTTACACTATCCCCCCTGGAACAATGCAGTAATCTAATCTCAGGGTTCTGTATTGTCTTTGGCTCTGCATCCTTCCTGGTAGAGTATATCACATGTAAATCTAGCCTTCTACAATCTCTTAAGCATTTTCTATTTATGACCTAGATAGAAGTTGAACATTATAGAGACTTTTAAATTATTCATTGTAGTGATTCATTCATTCTTCCCCTCTTGACATCCCTAGTATTTTTCCTCATTTTTTTCCACTTCACATTTTGCAGGATCGAGTGTAATAAGTCATCAGTGGTATCATTCACATATTTTCATATTTGAAATCTCCAATTCTGGGCTTGGTTTTCATCCCATACTTACTTGCCAGGAAACTTACTATTCATTGTGTAACAGTTCCCTCACTCAGCAGTGCATCTCTGAAACATTCTGTCACAGCATTCTCCCTGTTGTGCAGTGTTTAGCTTTACATCTTACTTTGTGATTTGTACACATCTTAATTGGATAATTTACACTTTAAATTTTCTTTTAGATGTCTGAATTCTCTGTTTGAGTGTGAAAACTGTGAAACCTGAGATTTTATCCCAGCCTTCATGATACTCTCACTACCTGAATGTCTGATACGAAATCTATAAATATAATGTAGACATTTAAGAAATTGTAAAAGCCTGTTTGATTTCTAGATATATATTTAGAATCATTTGCATGATCTTCATAGACTTTTGACACTGAAAAACTTTGTTTAAAGTTTTCCATCATATAAACACTACACTACTCTGAATATCTGACAAAATTAACATAGACCATTTTGAGCAGTGAATGTACTTTATCATATATTCACACGTTCAAACCACACATGATCAAGTATTAAGTATTTTTTCTTTTCTATGATGAAACTTTACAAATCAAATATATGTATACACAATCTTAGATTTCAGTAAAAATATTGTGTTTTAGTAAGAATAAGCTTAAATAATCTTTGGAAGTAGGAAGACTGTAATGCAACTGGAAATATGTTATATCACAAATGAGATTTAAAAAATGGAAAAATCAGATGCAAACAAAATATAAGTTTTCATTCCATTCCTATAAATTTTGAGAAGGATTAATCTCATAATTTGAGATAGAGAGAACAATTAACTTTTGTTAGGAATTTAAAGATACCAGCAGAATAAAATGGATCATGTAATTCTAAACCTCTAGTCTGGCTAAAATTAAATGTGCAATAGTTTGACACATATGAATAAATGGCATAATTATTAGGAGAGTTATACAGCTAAGGCCAAGTAATTGAGGAAAATAAAGAATAAAAATATAAACATCAATCATTTCAGGAAGACATCAAGTTCATTGCATTCTTACATTAACAAGGATCATGCACATATTTAAATATCTCTGTAAATATTTTACATTCATGGGAACATTAAGTAGTTTTTGCAAACATGGCAGTATCATTGCCTCATAAAAGTTTTCAATTTCTTCATTCCTTTCTTCATCTTTAATTGATCTAGCTTTAGTTCTATATCCCATATCCATACATCATAAATAAACATGAACCCCTTCAAATATAGTCACTATATATGCACCTATTTTCTCTATGACAGAATGCATAGCTTTTTATATATGCAAGAGATAGCTATGCTTTCAAATTTGGGTCACTGTGTAATGTAGAAATAGCCAATGCCTTTTCTCTTATGAATTGGCCTATTAGATAAAGATAGCTCAACCAGTTTTAATTATACTTGTTCACTTTGTTGTGTTACATTTGACTACATACACTAACCAGTGTGTACCTATTTTGATTTCTCTACTCCAGGGTTGCACTTGTTTTAGAACAAATTTGCACAAGATAACATCAGCTATTTCTACAAAAGAACTCAATCTTTCTTCTTGTATCATTTATTCACTAATTTGAACACTGAATTTTGCCAACTTTAAATGATTTTAAATGTCATTTTAAAGGCCTGGGATTTAGCTCAGTGGCATAAGTGCATGCTTGGCAAATGCAAAGTTATGAGTTTGATCCCTGGTTCCAAAAAAAAAGTCACTTGACGTCTTTACTCATTACATAATAAACATCTCTACACCATCTCATATCACACAGTGGTGCAATTTCATCAGTATCTGTTCAACTTTCAACTCTTTGAATGTTCTTTAAATTTTGGTTTATTACAGTTTCAAAAATAAGGAAAATTTCAAAATCAAATTTTAATGCTAAAAATATAAAATTTAAGATTAAAAACAATAATCTCAGTATTGCTAACAATAGAAAATTGAAAATTATCTTATTGCCACTGGAATTAAGCCTGTGTTTTTGAGGTTTATTTTGTAATTAAAATAAAATATTAAGCATCATCTGAGAGACTGCATACAGTATAAACTGAAAATATGTGATCTGATTTAAATTTAACTGCCTGTGATGATAATCTTATTTTAAAACAACTATAATTTAATTGGATGAATTTAAAGCATTTTATTACTTACAAATTCAAGTATATGTTGCTTATAGAAACAGAAAAGTATGAAGCTCTTACCTTAGCAGCATTGTAAAAAAAAACATGAAAACATAGCTAACAAATTATTTTAAGCAATGCTTGCATTTTATCATAAATTCATACCTTCAAAGCAAAGTTGATAAAACTTTGAGCACATTTTATTTTTTGAAATTGACCTTTACTCATCAGGTATTATATGTATACGTATTATTGGACACAAACATATGCTACAATAAGAGTTCAGTAGAAAGTTAACTTTATTTTGCATATCTTCAATCGGCTGCACTTATTAGACAATTTCTATGTTAAAAATAATATGTAAATGATGTTCAATCTTGTTTTTAAAGTAAAATATTCATCAATATATTTTACAGATAAAATAACTCATTTGGCATTCCTGAATCCATGAAATTACAAAACCTTTCACTGTATTACTGCACTATAATGTCTTTTGTCATTTAGCTGTCAAATTATAATAATAGAGAATAGAGATATATAAAAACAAAGAAAGTACATGAGGCAGTAGAGGAGAAATGATTAAAGCTCTATTATCTATATACAAATAATAAAATTTCTTACATACCCAACTCTTTGCTAACGTAGGAATCCCATGTTTTCCAAAGTGTTTCAAACATGTAGTCCTGTAGTTGGTAAGAGATTAAATTCCTTACTCTGTCAGCGAAAGTCATCTGGTCAGTGAGTTCTGATAACACAGCAGGAACATAGGAAGGAGGGTGTGGTACCTTCCCACAGTGCCTTTCAATATTTGAGGCTGGAGAATATCTTAAGGAATAGATGAATGGAATTCCTAGCTTTAAAGCTATGATTTCACCACAAAGGGTTGTTGGGTCTGATAATAGAACTTCAAACTTGCCACTTTTCAGCTTTTCCATCAGCTTTCCATTTTTAAGAACACCGTCACACTGTTCTCTAACTACCATGTGTAGGTCCGTGTTGATTTTAGTCATCTCCTGGTAGAACCTCCAAATGGTTGACGGAGATGGCCTATTTTCCAGCCATATTAAAACCAACTCCTTGATCAGTCCTTCTATTCTCTCTTTGCCAAAGGGCACTTTATATGTTTCAAAAGTCAGAGATGTTTGAGATGATGGCGTGACGAAAAGTGCACCTGAGGCTACCAGGACAGTCACATTATGCTCTCTCTTAAGAAGCTCATCAATAATGACCTTAACATTGAGCCAGTGACTACCTTCTCCTGGCCAAATCAGAATATTCCCAGCAAGAGTGGTTCCTAGGAGGCTTATCTGAAGAGACAACAGCAGAATGTTGAGTAACATGTTGTGTCTTGATGCAGAAGATGAGGAGATATGAACCAAATGAGCACCTCTGACTTTCAAGCTAAAAGACAAAAGCAATCTCAGTATTGCTGCAAACATTTGATACCCTAATAAGCATCCTCCCTACCACATTATGTTACTCTTGGAAGCTCCACTGTTGGTGGAAACTGCAGGAGTAAGATTGAAGATTTAAGAGTAACGTCTTACATACATTTTTACAGGAACTTGTGCTATAATTCTTGCTTTTTAATTTTTCTCTTGAACTAATCCATCAGCCTTTTGTTGTATCTAAGATTTGTAAATATTTTCTCATTATATTTATTTAAGCTTTTTGTATCTCCACTTTGTATTGATTGCTACATACTGGAACCACAAATTGAAACAGAGTTCACTAAGACATGTAGGGATGCTGCATCTATAAAGTTTTGTGGTATGTAGTAAATTCATATAACTCCAATAGTTAAATCCTATTATAATAGCAATAACAGACTAGATTATTGGAAAGCACATTTATGAAAATATAGTAATTATAATGTGAATTGATAATCTAATAACATTAAAAGAAGTTAAGTGTCTATCACTAAGAAAAATATCACTATTAAATGGATAAAATATATACAAATAATATGTACAAGAGATACAGAACTACTAGTGAGTAGTGCCTACCTAAAGAGGATATCTAATTCAAGCATAATTTTTATCAAAAATACACTTTATGAACTAGGTGGTCAGGATGAATATCAAGACCCTGTTTTATAAAAATGCTAGTATTGATTAAGCCTTTGCTATATGATATTGTTACAAATGCTTTATATTGATTAATCTAGTACTAATCTCTGATTTTGACAAGAATCAAAATCTGTGATAGTTCCTAAATCAGGGAAGGAACAACAATTTAGAGACATTTAATCACTTTCAAACTTCATAAAAGAACATAAACAAGGAATTATTCCTATTGTAATTTTAAAATGTTTGTCTCCTGTAGCCTATGCATTAATCAGGAAACTAGAGTCCATATCAGAATATGCCATGTCTCCTATGGAATTCTGTGGCCTAACTGAATGACAAGCAGCCTGAAACACTTCCACAATAAAAATTTGTAATACACGGTATAGTGTAGTGCAAATTCAAATAGTCCACATGATCTTCATGAAAAGTGTGTATGTATATGCCTGTGTCTGCTAATAAGCAATAATGTCATGTAAGTGTTGTAATTTTTTGCAGTTGGGAATTCTCTTAAAATCTGTAATAGCTATATCTTGGAAACAACTCAAATTCTCATTCACTGTGGAATGAATAAAAAAAGATGTGATATTTTTATACAACGGGGTACTACACAGCTATAAAGATGAATAAAATCAATGTTTTTATAGGTAAATGGATACAACTTGAAACCATAGTCTTAATAGACTTCCAAATATAAACATAGTAATGTCTGCCTAACATAAAAATGAAATAGTAAATAAGTTCCAAAATATACAACAGATATTGAGAAAGTGAAAGTGGAAGACACCTCTCCAAAGTAAAGAAAAACAGAGGCATTGGAATGGGAAAGAGAATGAAATTACAAGTCAACAAATGCAATGCAATGCAAAGAAAAACAATATAAGACTGATAGGAGTCAATAAAAAGAGCAAGCATCAACACAAATGACATACAAAGACTAACTGCAGAAGTAATAGAAAAAAAAATTATCAAAGAAAGGCATGTAGAATTCCAATTAGCCATAACCAAAATAAATCTCACCTAGATATTGAACAATTGAGACCCCAGAAATTCAGCACAAGAACAGAAAACTGAACGCTGTTAGGGAAAAGAAATAAATCACTTATAAAGGAAAGCCCACACAAATCACAGCAGATTTCTTGACAAAAACCATGAATTCTAGAAGAGCTTGTATTGATGTTTCAAGTCCTGAAAGAAAACAACTTCCAACCCAAATTGATGTACTATCTTTCAAAAATAATGAGGAAATAATATACTTGCATGACAAAGTACAACTGAACAAATTCATGACCCCCAAAGAAACACTACAAAGAATAATGAAACACATTCTAAAAAGAGAAAACAAATGATTACAATTTCAAAAATAACAGTAAAAAAAAAACCACCAAGAAATTAATCAGGGTAGAAAAGTACTCATCCAATAATAGGAAAATAACATGACAAAGATAAATCAATACCTAACAGTTATAATCATTAATATAAGTTGCATCAATTCAGCAATCAAAGGAAACAGACTGGCAGAATGCATCAAGAAACAAAGTCCAACAACATGCTGTACACAAGAAACACATTTAACTCAAAATCAACTGCATATGTTGAACATCAAAGTTGAAAAACAATATTCTGTGTGATGGGAACACAGAAAAAAATAGGGACAGATATTCTGTTTTCAGAAAATGTGAACTTCAGACATATAATTATCATTATTATTATTATTTTTTTTTTTTGGTGCCTGGGATTGAACTCATGACCTTGTGCTTGTCAGGCAGGTGGTTAAGCCACTGAGCTAAATCCCCAGCCCTAGACATAGAATTATCAAAAGACATGAAGAAGGTCACCACATACTTGTTAAGGGAAAACTTCAAGAGGAAGAGGTAGCAATCATAACTATGTATCTACCAAATATGGGGCCATCCAACTATGTAAGATAAATGTTAACTGTCAAAAAAATTAAGTAAGCAATAACGTGATTATAATAGTGGAACCTTAACACATCATTATCACAGAGATAGATCACTTAGACAAAAAAATCAGCCAAGAAACAATAGAGCTGAACCAAACATGTGAAAAGGTGTACTCAGTTGACATTTAAAGAGTGTTTCACCTAAAAATTTTCAACAACTCTTCCTCAGAAAGAGGACTTCTATCTAGAATGTATAAAGAATGTTTAAAAAATTAAACTTCTCAGATTCAAAGACCCAAATCAAAAATGAACATCTAAGATGTATACACACTTCTCAGATGAAGATATATAAATGGCAAATAAATACATGAAAGAAGGTTCTACATAACTTCTCATTCAAGAAATGCAAATTAAAACACTGAGATTCCATCTTAACTGAGAAGGAATAGCTATTACTGAGAAATCAACCAATAATATATGCTGGCAGGGCTGTGGGGAAACAGGAACCCATCTCCATTGTTGATAGGAGTGCAAACATTCTGGGAATCTGTGTGGAAATTCCTCAAATTGCAGATCCAATTTGACCCAGCTATTCCCCTTCTGGGTATGTTTTCAGAAGAATTTTCCCATGAGAATTGAAAAAATTATACCATAGTGATATAAGGGCACTCATGTTTGTAACAGCACAATTTGTAACAGTTTAATTTTGGATAATACTCAAATGTCCATCAACAAAGGAATGGGTAAAAAAAAGATGTATTTTGATACAAGGGAGTACTACTCAGCCATCGAGAAGGATAAACTTGAGGCTTCTGTAGATAAGTGGATACAAATTGGGACCACACTCATAAGTGAAATAAATCAGACTCACCTATGTAAACATTGTATTGACTCCCTAATGAAAGAAACTGAAAGAGTAAATAAGATCCAAAATGTACAATAGCAATCATGGGAGCTGCTTAAAAGATAAGAACAATTAGGGTGAGAGAAAAAAGAGGAATATGACTAAGATAACTGCATTACTATTCTAATAGTTTGTATAAAGGAATAATTAGTACTTACATTGATCAATTTTACATACCTAGATATGGTAATCTGAGCAAGTATTTTGAAATTAACAATATACAATATAATAACCATTGTTAATTTCCTACCATCTTGTTTGGAAATCCTGTTTTTTGTTAATGCTGTTGGTCCATTCTCTTTAAAATTAAAAAAACTGATTAATATGATTTTTAAATTCAATGAATCTTGAGGCTGTTAACTTATTTAAAAATAAGGTAAAATATTCAAATATTGTTTCATCAGCAATCATAATAAAATATGGGGTTTACCTACTTAAACACAGAGGGAGAATGGAGTAGGCTTACTTACACAAAAAGGGAGGAATAGAGTTTTTGTTTTCCTAAAACTGAACATTGCTTTAAGAGTTACAATAACAGAGTTGGATATTGTCTATCAGGGAATTTTCCATACAGAAAAATTGTTTTGCTTCTCTTTTTATATCAACCAATTTGATTTTTTATAAAACTCATGTAATCTCTAATGAAACCATGTTTGAAAATGCCTGAATATTTTAACATTTAATGTACAACATTAGTAAAATACAGTATCACAAAAGGTAACTCTTATATCTTACACAATGCTGCACTGAAGACCACAGGTGTCTGTTGTGAGACTCATCCCTCTTTTTTCATGTACTAGCCTATTCTCTGTTTCTTTCTCCTGTGTTATGCAAAAAAGAAATGATTGACACTTCAATGGAATAAACTAGATTTAAGAGCTAAGCCTTGGAAAGGGGCAATGGGTCCACATGTTTAAAAAACTCTCCAGGTACATTTGTATAATGCAAATCTCTGAATTTGAATAAAATTGACCTAAAATGTAAAATCTAGGTAGAAAACTACTCTGATTCTGAAACTGTCATGTGAAGAACCTCCATTAAGCTGGACCTCACCCTGCCCTAAGACATTGTGTGCATTACTTGCAAGACTTCTTAAGGCCTGTGTTTTGAAGGTGCCTTATACTTAAGTAGCATGCACTAGGTCAAAAAGAAAGGGAATTGTGCCAGCTGGTTGCCAATAGTTTATCACACAGTGCATTCTTAAGAAAGCCACCTCTTAGCCTCACAAACAGCTCTTTTCCTGTGGTAAGTTCTGTTTCTTTCAATGTGAATTATGGGTTCATTGATTTTTAAGTGTATTTTAGATTTAATCTTTTGAAGCATTTGCAATGTTCCTTGTGGTTCTTATAAATGTATTGTATAACTGCATTAAGAAATTCAATTGGTACCAAAACCATTTGAAATACACAATATTGTTGTTTCTATTTTTAATGAAAAAATATAAATAATTCATAATTTCCCCATTTATGAACACCCTTCAAAAATATAGAGTGGTTCTTGTAATTATTAAATTAATTTATACTTATGC